TCAATGAAAGAATGAATTAAGGGATGACAGCAGCAGTCTTCTGCGTCGCTAAGGAGGAGTATGACCCTACTGGGAGATGCTGGATGGAAGGGACGAGAAGAAGAAAGGGCCCTAGAAGGAGCCTTATTTCTCTGGTGATTCTCCCTGAGGCTGGTCCTACTTGGAACGAGCTCATAGTGCTCCATGCACCAGCTCTTGTGTGATCTCTCAAAATGCCTTCCCACTGTGGTTTCATAAATCCTTCTATGCTGATTTGCCCTGAAGTGCTCTGCTTTTCCAGGGCATAAATTATTGAAGCAGTTGTGCTCAGCAAAGGGAAAGATAGGGAGACCTACCTGAGACTTCCAAAGTGAAGACCAGACACCTTGTCTGACTTCCAGCATTTCAGAGCAAGCCTGACCACACCATCCCAGGCAGGAAGTCATGCAACTGCCAGAACGGCCACCCGCTTCCTTAATGTGGCAGGGGAATCGAGGATCCAAGGAGGCGTACCTCTCATTTCTTCACCTCTGCGAGTTCCCCAGGCTTTCTCACTGACCAGGACTGGGAGTGGAAGGCGATTCACAAAGACCAGCTGAAGCCATTTTTAGGTCTTCACTCTCAGGCAAAAGGATCTGTTAGTATCTGTGCAAAGAGTCTCAGAGCTGGCATCACACATTGTACACAGCTTTGGGACCGGCAGGGGGCACGATGTTCCCTATGAGTTGAGTGAGGGGAGGGGCTCCCTTTGAGCTCGGGAGCTGTCAGCGTGTGTGATACGGATGTCTGTCAAAGTAGACTGATGTCTAAGAAGCTTGACTCCCATTTCCTCAGAGGATGCTGAAAAACAGACAGGCTGAAAACAAAAAGTGTATCTGTCGTTTCATTTATCAAAGTTCTTTCGGTTCCTGGTTTGAAGCCAGGGAAAGCAAAGCAAATATCTGGTTAGAAAAGTGAACTTGAAAGCTCAAGGGCTGGCGTGTAAAAAAAAAAAAAGTTAGACAACGGTGCTATGAAAATCTTAAAGACAAAAGCAAAAGAATAGATAAATGCTTTTTGCTTTCAGCTCACCCACCCTAGTGTAAGCCTTCTAGGGAAAGAGACCAGCTTGAGCTCTAAGTCTGCCATTTAATAGTGGTTTCAGCCCTGGGCCTATTATTTCATTTTTTTGAGCCCCAGTTTTCTCATTTGTGAAGAGGATGTCATAGAATTTCCCTTGTAGCGTGGTGGGGATAATAATCCATGAGATGCGCTTAGCAGAGTGAGCCACACACAAGCCTCTGATTAATATTAGCTGTTACTCTTATTAGTCTCCTAAGTGAAAATTGCCTTCAAAGTACATGAGCATTACAAAAGCTGAAAACTGAAGCTTCCCTTGATAATCAGAGGATTTTATAAATAGGCCTTGGAGAGTCGGAATGTTATTTTGAAGGCACAGTCACTCATCAGCGTATTGATTAAGCACTAGGACATTCCCCAGTTGTATTCTGGATATTATACAAATGAGGAAAATAAACACAGCGTCCTAGTTATGTGATGTCACTACCTGCAAACACAGAGGCACATCCTGGGATGTTTTGTGAGAGTGTGTGAGGATCTAAAACCCTGTTGGCATGACCTCCCCAGGTTTACAGAAGAAAATTAACACCTTGGCCCCGTTTTTATGAGGAAGACATTAATTTTGTACAACCTCAAAGGATGCAGCAGGGGTAGCAAAGAGAGAAAGGAAGGGTGTTAAGAAATGGATGGCAAGGATATTTCCTTACAAGAGGAGTTGTGGACTTCCCTGGTGGTCACAGGTCAAGAGTCTGCCTGCCAGGGCAGGGAACATGGGTTTTATTCTTTTCCAGAAAGATCCCACATGCCCCAGAGCAACTAAGCCCGTGTCACAACTACTGAGCCAGTGCTCTAGAAGAGCCTGTGCTCCACAACAAGAGAAACGAATGCAATGAGAAGCCCGTGCACTGCAATCAGAGAGTAGCCCCTGCTTGCTGCAACTGGAGAAAGCCCAAGCCCAGTAATGAAGATTCAGTGCAGCCAAAAATAAAAATAAGTAAAATTCAAAAAGAAATGAGCAATTGTTATCTCCGCCTGGAACTGTTTTTGCTAGATCTTTGCTTGGATGGTCTTCTGTTATGGAAGTCTTTGTCTCAAGTGTCACCCCCTCATACGACCCTTCCCTGGGCAGTCATTGGAAATTAAACCCATCCTCCCATCCCTTTATTCCTCTAGCCTTACTCTATTTTCTTTTAAGCATTTATTCTGGTCTGAAATTAGCTTGTTTATATGTTTGTTGATTTGTTTACCATTTGACTCTCTCCATAATGATGTCACTTGGGAGCAGGGACCACATCCATCTTATTTGTTACTGTATCTCACAGCCTGACATATACTAGGCATTTGATGAATAGATGAGAAATGATTGAATAATTGGGCCTTTAAAAAAAAAAAAAAAAACTTTGGCTTTTTAAAAAACATAATCTGTCTTTTCTTGTGGTGATTTGGTTGGTAAACCTCATCTCAGATCATCTTGGCTTCTTGCTGTATTACACAAAAGGCATCATCGGTCATTGGAAATTTATAATGAGTCACTTAAACTGTAGCATCCTACCTTAGAAACATACTTTTGTTAGTTTGTTAGTCCTGCTGTAAAAAAGTGCTACACTGGGTAGCCTAAACAACACAAATTTATTATCTCACAGTTCTGAAGGTAGTCATTTGAGGTCAAGAAGTTGGTCAAGTTGGTTCCCTCTGAGGGCTCAAAGCAAAATAATCTGTTCCACGCTTCTCTCTTCTGCTGGAGGTTTGTCCGCAATCTTTGGCATTGCTTGCCTTGTAAAACCATCAGTCCCATCTCTGTGTTCACCTTCACCTGGTGCTTTCTCTTTGCATCTATCTCCAAGTTTCCCCATTTTATAAGGATACTAGTCATATTGTATTACCTAATCACCTCATTTTAATTTGATTACTTTTGTAAAGAACTTCCTCCAAGTAAGGTCGCATTCCAAGGTACTTGGGGGTTAGGACATCAGTGTATGTAACCCCTAACAATCCTGAGCATCCAGGATGGAAAAGTATGATAGTGGGTTGAGCCACATAAAATTGCTTACTTGTTTTTCTCTACTAGGACAAGAAAATTTCAGTTCAGGGAAAGTTGGACGTATGAAATGCAGGAGGGCTTAAATAAACACACAGACCCATGCCAGAACCATGCTTAGCACACATGGCTAGCTTAGTGCTCAGTCGATCAGTATTTGGTGATTAAATGGCTGTAAAGTTCTTCAAAACGACTTTCACCCTCAGTTCTTCCAAGTCTTTGTCCCCATATTACCGTCTCAGTGAAAACTAGCCTGATTCCTACATTTTAAATCATGACCTCTTGGTGCTCACTTCCCTTCCTGCACTTTATTTCTCTCTATTGCACACCTTCTACATACTCTGGACTTCACTTATGTATGGTGTTTATTGCTGTCTCCCCTCACTAGGAGGTAAGCTCTATGAGGGCAGGAATTTTTACTGTTTCATTTACTTCTGTTATGTCTGTATATACCAGCACTAGACCCAGAGTATGCCATCAGTTTCATTGAGTGAATGAATGAATGCCTGACCCAGAGTATGCCATCAGTTTCATTGACTGACTGACTGACTGAATGCCATCAGGAGAGTTCTGGCATCTCTTGGCATGTAGTTTCAGGTTTTCCTTGGATCTGCCCTTGACCTTCATAGAATCTCAGCACTGAGGAACTCCTCAGAGATCAAGTTTCTGTCTCTGATACTTGAATTCCCTTCTAGACTGGTGACAACTTAGTAATAATCTTGGCTTACAGAGCCCCCAACTCCAGGAGTAAAAGAACAAAGGATTGAAAAAGTTAAATGATATATAAAATAATACGGCATGATGGCTGTCTCTTAGAACAAAGGAATGGGGAGCAGAGGCAGGAGGCTTGTAGTGGCACAAGCAGTAGGCTCAGAGAAGGGCAAATATAGTCTGGTGTACATCTGGGGCAAAATGATGCATAATGATCACTGCAGGGTGAAAGAACCAGAGGATGATAAGGCAAACCAATGACAGTGAACAGCACAGTGATTTAGAACAATGTTTCTCAAACTTTATGCAGATACCAGTCACCTGGGGATCTTGTTAAACTGAAGATGCTGTTTCGGGGTGGGGTCTGAAAGTCTTCATTCTTAACAAGTTCTCAGGGGATGCGTCTCCAGGATTGCACTTTGAATATCAAAGAACGTGGATTCTGCAACCAGACTTCCAAGGTTCAAATTACACAGTGACCACTGATTAACTGTGTGATCTTCAGTAAATTATGTAATGTCTCTGTTTTCTGGTGTATAAAATGAAGATCAGATGAGGTAGTCTCTGTAAAATGAATACTGTGTAAATATTAAGTCATGGATTGTGACTGTTACTTGGGGACGGGAGAAGGAAGAGGATTTGGTGTGGGATTCCAGGCAAAGAAGCCTTAGCGGTACTTTTCATGATTTTTTAAAATAAAGTGTTCAGGTGATCACTGTGCAGATTTCCCTCCTTTTCCTTGCAAGCAAGTTACAAAAGAAAGTGGATTAATTATGCATGTGCTATGCTGAGGGCGGTTAAGGAAAACTGTTTGCAAGCTGCCTTGCGTCCTCCGATGGAGAAACCATGGGAAGGGATTGTTTCAGCTGGGAGCTGAGCCCTAAATTCCTCTCTGATGCAGGGCTCCACGAGGCGCTCAGCTCTTCAGAAGGAAGAGCTTTCCCTAGCACCTGCTGAGTGATGGCCACAGCGAGGCGCTAGGGAGAGGTGCGCGGAGTCCGACGCTGGGAGCACCCGGACGGAGCGGTAGTGCAGGCGGGGTAGAGGGCCGACCCACGTGGACCACCAGGCGGGGCGGGGGCGGGGGCAGCCAACCAGCCTGGCCAATCACCGTGACCCGCGGCGGCCCTGCCCCTCCCCGTGGGCTTGCTAGCCTGGCTCTGCTGCACTGCTGGCTGCGCGCCGCCCTGGACGGGGCGCACCGAGGCTGTTGCCAGCCCCAGGAGTGGAGTCGCAGCTGCTGCCTCTGCAGACGTTTGTTCTCCAGATGCAGTTTCGGACTTGTCTTCGGAGAGACTTGGGAGTTTCCTTTCAAAGCGAGCCTGCGGAGGTGATGGGCCTCTGTGGGGATGTCTGCGGGGAGGCGGCACGGTGAGCGTCCTCTGGCTCGGGTGCGGAGGGAAATCGGTGTGTCGCTCTGCACGCGCAGTTTCAGACTTGGCTGCCGGCTTTAGCTGAGTGAGCAAGGTTGAAACGGCAAGGAGGAGGCGGGAAGATGGGCTTGGGGTGACTTGGGACCGTTTGCTCACGGTCTGTCTCCGGGGCAGCAGCTGCCTCTCGGGCCGATACCGACTTGCCTCCTCCCGCTCATCCTGGCGCTCTGGACTGCGGGAGTGACCTTCTGTGCGGAGGCTGCCGTGCACCCCGAAGTTGGAAGCGGCGCTAAGAAGCGGGGTGTGTGTGTGGCAAGCTTCCAACTTCAGGGCTTGTGTCTGTCCCTCAGAGATCCCGAGGGTGCTCCGTGAATGGCTGCGAGGTCACTTGATGGATTGGTATGTAGAGGCAGAAGGCGAAGTGGCCGCAAGTCCTTGTTTTGAAGAAGTCCTTAGGTCTGAGGAGGTATCTTTATAGGAGCCTGAAGGAGAGAGCGGGTTAGCCTACAGCGATCTCCTGTTTGCCCGGCTCTTGCTGGGAGGATGCAGTGTGATCCGGGGCGCAACTTGCAGCTGTGAGCGCGAAGCTTCCCACTTAAGGGGAGAAGTGTAGCAGGTCTAGAAGTACCGTCCCTTCTCACGTTAGGTATCTAGCATTTGTCCACCAAGCCGGCGCGCTTGAATTTCTTCCCGTCTTTTTCAGTTTCGTCTGCGGTTGCTTCCTTTGCTCTGTCAGCCAGCCCCTGGAAGGGAGGGCATCTTTAACCTTAAGCCATGTTCTCTTTTTCGGGGGACGATGAAATGGAAAGCCTGATAACCCGCACCTAGGGAGACAACCCAGGCCAGACACGGTGCTACTGGTGTGTTTTCCGCCTGAATCAGCGTCATTTAACGTTTGGGAGCTCCACAGACCTCCGTGAGAACCTTAGCTAAGCTATGTAGCAACTCCTCAGCCAGATGTGTATACACGAGTTCATGGTTACTCGCTGAAACCTACCCCTGTGCCCACCCCCCACACAGGATTTTAGGACCCCCTTGAGGAAGCGTCTGTATCCGTGTCCTCGGTTCCTCTTTAACTTTTCAACCGCCGTCCCTCCAAGACGGGCAAGGTTGATGTGATGTGACAAGTGACCCTGGAGCGTGGGAACGGAGACGTTGAAAGCCTTGGTCTGATTCTTTCTGTCTTATCCGTGGTCTGGGGATTCAACAACCCGAAGCCCGTACCTGCAGACCCAGATGCCCAAATTGGTCCACGATGATGGTTCAGGTTCCTGGTCAGACTTGCCCTTCTTCCAGGCCACTTGCTGAGGACAGTGAGTTTGTGTGTCTGAGTCCTGTTTAGGCAGGACCTGGGTTTCAAAGAAAACAGAAAAAGGCTAAAATAATTTAAGAACATCCATTTCCTGATGTAATCTGTGTTTTGCACTCAGTCATTTGAGGACAGATGTGTGACTTGCAGAATTCTTCAACAGCTCACTGTGGGTTTTTACAATGAGGAGCATTTCTGCTGTTTGTGGTTGTGAATCAGTGTGTAAGCCCAGCATTGCCTTTAGATTGGAAATACAGATCTTAATAAGGCAGTATGAGAGCAGTTTTCAGAATCATTATGACTAATGATGACTTATGTCCTCCCAAACTGACCGTGTGAGTGGACATTGCTCATTTGTGCAAAAAGCTTTCTTTATCTGTGTAGGCATTTCCTGATCAATATTCTCATGTCCGAGAAATGGATTTCAAGATTTTCTTCCTCAGTTCTTCTGTCTCATTTTTCAGCTTTAGATGACTTTGTTCTCTTCCCTCTGTACCATCTTAACTCCGCTTTGACACTTTGAAATGTATTACAAGGTTGTAAGTCATGATTTGATGTGGCCGATTTTCTCTGTTAAAAGATAGGAAAATTGCTCTTACCAGATAAGCAGTGGCTGCCAGTTCACTTATTTTTGAATGGCTAATTTTTTTTCTTCTCCCACAAACATGCACACAAAAACCCTGCAAATATCTCAACTTGATCACTGAATATTTTTTTCACTTGAGGCAACTTTTCCATATATCTGGTTCTAGAATCTTCTGAGTCACTTAAATTTCAATATTCATTTTTTGACTCCTTTTAGAGATGTGTTTTGTTTGATGACCTAGTTCCATTTAGTCACACACAGACACAGAGATTCTTTATCCCCTTACCTACTTTTCAGTGGCACATAGCCTTTCTCTAATAGCTGCTTTTATTATCTGCACAGTTCATTTGTTGGTACACTTAAAATAATACTTTGTTATGTAAATGATGTGTTGGTGTATATGGTATTAAAACTGCATTCAATGGAGATTGACCCTTGGGTATGACATCATCACCAGCCAATCCGCTATCTGATTTGAACATGCATTGACAAAAGTCACACTATCATATTCAGCAAGGGTTTCTATATTGCCTGTGATGAATCAGAAAAAGAGGGAAGTTCTTTGGTTCTTCCTCTCAATTAGCTGCCCAGTTGGAGAGTTTTGGGGATTTGTACACTAAGAAGCTTAGCTTAATAATAAAATTCTCAGATTGCAGTTATATAGATCTCTTTAGAATTTGCATAAGTACATTTTCCCCCATTTGCTTTCTTCTTTGGAAATTTTTCACCCTGCATTTTGGCTCTTTTTTTTTTTACTGATGGAGAGACATCATAGTAAATGTTGGTCTGATTCTTTCTGTCTTATCCGTGGTCTGGGGATTCAACAACCCGAAGCCCGTACCTGCAGACCCAGATGCCCAAATTGGTCCACGATGATGGTTCAGGTTCCTGGTCAGACTTGCCCTTCTTCCAGGCCACTTGCTGAGGACAGTGAGTTTGTGTGTCTGAGTCCTGTTTAGGCAGGACCTGGGTTTCAAAGAAAACAGAAAAAGGCTAAAATAATTTAAGAACATCCATTTCCTGATGTAATCTGTGTTTTGCACTCAGTCATTTGAGGACAGATGTGTGACTTGCAGAATTCTTCAACAGCTCACTGTGGGTTTTTACAATGAGGAGCATTTCTGCTGTTTGTGGTTGTGAATCAGTGTGTAAGCCCAGCATTGCCTTTAGATTGGAAATACAGATCTTAATAAGGCAGTATGAGAGCAGTTTTCAGAATCATTATGACTAATGATGACTTATGTCCTCCCAAACTGACCGTGTGAGTGGACATTGCTCATTTGTGCAAAAAGCTTTCTTTATCTGTGTAGGCATTTCCTGATCAATATTCTCATGTCCGAGAAATGGATTTCAAGATTTTCTTCCTCAGTTCTTCTGTCTCATTTTTCAGCTTTAGATGACTTTGTTCTCTTCCCTCTGTACCATCTTAACTCCGCTTTGACACTTTGAAATGTATTACAAGGTTGTAAGTCATGATTTGATGTGGCCGATTTTCTCTGTTAAAAGATAGGAAAATTGCTCTTACCAGATAAGCAGTGGCTGCCAGTTCACTTATTTTTGAATGGCTAATTTTTTTTCTTCTCCCACAAACATGCACACAAAAACCCTGCAAATATCTCAACTTGATCACTGAATATTTTTTTCACTTGAGGCAACTTTTCCATATATCTGGTTCTAGAATCTTCTGAGTCACTTAAATTTCAATATTCATTTTTTGACTCCTTTTAGAGATGTGTTTTGTTTGATGACCTAGTTCCATTTAGTCACACACAGACACAGAGATTCTTTATCCCCTTACCTACTTTTCAGTGGCACATAGCCTTTCTCTAATAGCTGCTTTTATTATCTGCACAGTTCATTTGTTGGTACACTTAAAATAATACTTTGTTATGTAAATGATGTGTTGGTGTATATGGTATTAAAACTGCATTCAATGGAGATTGACCCTTGGGTATGACATCATCACCAGCCAATCCGCTATCTGATTTGAACATGCATTGACAAAAGTCACATTATCATATTCAGCAAGGGTTTCTATATTGCCTGTGATGAATCAGAAAAAGAGGGAAGTTCTTTGGTTCTTCCTCTCAATTAGCTGCCCAGTTGGAGAGTTTTGGGGATTTGTACACTAAGAAGCTTAGCTTAATAATAAAATTCTCAGATTGCAGTTATATAGATCTCTTTAGAATTTGCATAAGTACATTTTCCCCCATTTGCTTTCTTCTTTGGAAATTTTTCACCCTGCATTTTGGCTCTTTTTTTTTTTACTGATGGAGAGACATCATAGTAAATGGATTAACCTTTTGATTTTTTTTTCCTTTGAAATAGGTGGAACATCTAGGTGATGGACTCACTTGTTTGCATACATGTGTACTTTTCATCAAGTGTTGGGTATGAATCTGCTAGGATTACCAGTGTCCCTACAAATCTTGAAGTCGATCATAAATGACTGGGAGAGCAAATAGTGTTCTTCATTCTAATTTGTCAAACAGATTCAGAATTGAGGGTAGGGGGACAGGCAGTAGAAAAAGATGTTTACGAAGGGGTTGGTGAAACAATTTTGGGTACTTTAATTACTTCATAATCATTTGTTTTGAAAACACTATTAGAAAAAGCTCAGATCCTTCCTAGGCAGCCCTTGCTTATATAGGCTTGAATGGGTGTGTGGAGTTTGGTTTTACAATAATAGCCAACTCACTTTGTGAACTCTGGCAACCCACTGCTCACAACGTAAAATTAACTTTGAATTCCCATGTTTTTAATATCTATTGAAAAAATAAAAGTAACTCTTTCTGTTTTGTAGTAGCCATTCAAGTTAAATCTACTTTCCTCCATAAAGTCAGTTAAGAGGGTTCTTGGGTTTTGTTTTTAACATAAATTTAACTGTGCAGTGTGGTTTAAGGGGAGATTCAAAGGCAAGCAGGATTTTGAACCTGTAAAGTATCTCAGAGTTCCATTTTCCAGAAGATCAAAAGTAGGAGATGTTGTGACTTGGATCCACTGTGGGCTTAGAACCCCCGAATCCTCACTCCTAGCCCACTGTGCTTTCTGGTGAAAAGCTGCAGGGAATGGCTTTAGTAATGTGCTGGGACCCACATTGTAG